AGTACCAGATTAACAGCACCGACTTTAACGAAGGAATCATGCGCACTCATACGCACGAAAGTCCGATATCACCAAACCAAACATGGCGTGTACATGGGGTGGTGAGCAAAATCGACCGTCCTCTGTACAATAATTGATACGAGGCCTGAAAATGAAAATAATGAACGCTCGCTTTTTGTTCTCATTGACAAAAAAGTGTCGAATTCCGTAAGGGAACAAACTGAAGCGAAGCGAACAGATGATGGGGAATCACGGAGTAGTAGATGAATTCGTACACACACACACACGGACACACTCATGCAGTCTCAATAAAACAACTTTGACCGTTCCAACGGGGATAGGGCAGTTTTGTTTGATAAACAAGTGCTCCATGGAATCGAAAGAGTCGTGACTGACNGCACGTGTTCGGTGAGTCAACGCTGCAAAACGGCAATTCAAGACATGCCAAAACCTTTGCAGTAAGTGATTGCAATCAGGAGGTGATGTTGCAACTGTTCCAGCGTTGGATAGTCCGGGAGGAGTAAAATATTAAAACATGTATGCGCCGTTGGAAGGCTGTGGGGGAATAGAGAGAATGAACAGATTAGAATACGAGCGAATCAACAGCAAAACAATTTTCATGTGTATGTCTGTGCATAAATCAAACGGGAAAAGTATCAGGAATGAGCACATTCAAAAGAAAATAGGTGGCAACATGAGCAAAGATAATCAACTAAAGGTAATATAGAAGAAAGAAGGGTATTTTTGTAACTGTCTTGCATTGTACGGGAAAATGTGCAAAATGACAACGTACTTCCACATACATAAATTTTGCTTTAACACCACTTTGAATAGCTCAGGAATAAAACAAATGTTGTGGAGGTGAAAGGTGACATTGTGTATACTTTCGCTACCGATAAAGCAGATAACAAACTGGGCTGGATTTCCAAACAGGTAGCTAATCAAAGTACCAATAAATCGGTTTTTCTGTTCTACACATTTGTGCGTGAAGGTACTTTTTTACTATGTGCAGGCTATTTAACCAGCGGACTAATGTAACAAATACAACTGAAAAACAACAGCACCGAGGGTGGTTCTAAGATAGAGACAATAATGTGAGTTTATTAGATAAGTGTTGAAAACAAATATGCATCCCAGCGCTGCTGTTGACGACACTCAATAATATCAGCTATTGTCGCCAAGTATCAATTCAATTTCATTTTTACTTCCTTTTTATTGAATACGCAATGATACTAGTTTCAGGAAGGAGGAATCAGCCAATCAAAGGGCATCCATACAACAAAAAATGGGGAAAGTCAGGCGGTAGTGGTGGGATGTGAACACTTGTCCTTGGGGTGATAATTTGGTGACGTTAGGATCGGGCCACCACCGCCGGTGGAGTCTTGAACCGGGAGGCCTGAGATGATTTACATGAATAAACCCAATGATAGGGTTTACTGCAATAATTCACTGGGGGTAATAAGTAGGTTATCACAGATATTCCTCTAACCTTGGAGAACATCTTCGTTCAACGGTAGCATGACTTATTATTATATAATACGGCACGAGATAGCGGTTTCGAACACCGATAGTCTGTTTTCACCTTCCAGCCGTATTGGTTATGTCTCTGCACCATGTAGCAGAACTGGGCAGACTACTGTAGCACGAATTCAAAGCGGAATTATCATTAGCTAACCACGGAGCATGAAAAAATGACACATTGCCCTTCCTGAACGTAAAATACTACGGATGACCAACGGAGTTCAGTTCAGTTTGTACAAACATTAACTACGCATATTCGTGCCCCGGTATTGGTTGCTGCCTTCTGGCTGCTCATTTGGATGAAGAATAGGAGAAGAAAGGAAAGCTGAGAACGGAGTCGAATAGAAAATGGAGAAGTTCAGTGGTCTAAGGTTGCAAAGAAATTGAGAAGATGCACGAACGCCACTGTTTACGACACCCAACCATATCACTAAGTGTCTCTACCCATCGGTTACGATCATTCCGAGGTCCCCAGCCTAACAGGACCTATGTGACCCAGTTTCCTGGTTAGGGTTTTCATACCCTCGTGCCAGGTCTTAGCTTAACCACCTTTGATTTTTCTCCACTCGGCGTATGCTTTGGCGGACAT